TGATATGGAGTCTGATTGGCTAGGTGGCAGTACAGTTATTTTAAGTGGGTTTGTTGACGCAATGCACAAATTGAGATTGACGCCTAATTGCTCTAAAGCTTGCAAAAATGTATTCTTAGTACAGCAGAGAACTGCATGCTTGATGATTTATTGCACGTCTTTATATTTCATGTGGTAACCTCCTTGTAAAGCCTAAAGGAAACTATGCTTTCAACGGGCTCACATTTGTGATAGATTTTGAAAGCACAACAATATTTTTACGTTCGGGTAATCAGAACAACAAATTTCTATGCTATGAGAGCATATAGAGGCGATCAAATATAATATAAAACCTTCATCAAACATTCTTCCTACTTCTGAATACCGCTTACACATGAAAAATCAGATACTGAAATTCAAAACTTGAGCATCATGAGACAGATGCCTGGAAATACTTGATTAATGATAAAAAAGTACCTGAAATCGGATTTGAGTCGAAATGCGACTTTCTTTAACCCTTTTTATGGACGGTTCCCATTATTTGAAAATATTGCACTTTTATGGTTTTACCAGATTAACAATAATTATTAGATCAACCCCGCTATATAGTGACATTACAAACAATCGTAAAACCCTTGAAACCATCGTGCATACTTCTGGACGGAAATATTCTTTCCAAGATATAGGCACACAAGTCTGTGTCTCGAGACATGCTAAACAATCATCTTCCGATTCAATTTATTGTCATCATTCTTCTGATAGGAGTTGGAGAAGTTTGTAGTTTTGACGTTGGAAAATTATAGAGAGGGAAATTTATCATTGATCTTGAAGTAAAAGTGATCATTTCATAGAGTCCACACTTTTACACTGATTTTTTACTTCCTCTCAATAGATAATCAGAGACGTCAATTGAGCTCATGTGATATATCAACAATATATAGTAACAGACTAACCAGTTGGGTTATGGGAGGGCGTTGATATCATTTTCGATTGCCCAAAGTCACCAACTTTTACCTGAAGGTTTTCTGTCACGAAGACATTTGCAGCCCGAAGATCTCGATGGACGTACCCTTTCGACTCTAGATAACGCATTCCACTCGCCACCTATATTTTATTAAAATTTATTTGAAACCATTCAAAAATGCAAAAAAATAGAAGAAGGCCTACCTGATCCAAGATCAATAATAGTTCTAACGTGTCTAAATTCAGACCCTCTTGTGATTTAAGATACTTAGCCAATGAGCCCTTTTTCATATATTCTGTAATAATAAGAACCGGTTCATTTTCGGGCTGAACACAAACGCCGAGAAATAGAACCAATTGTGGATGCCACATAGCGTGCATCTTTTCCGCCTCTTTCAAGAAATCATCCCTGGCAGCAACATGGAGAGGCATTTTAATGGCTACTTCCACAGCCTGTATGCGACCCAGCCAGACTTCGCCAAAGTTACCCTTATCGATTAGATTGATCATTTTAATAATCGATCGATCCAACTCCGCTTGTTTGAATGGAACTTGCGGTTTTTCGCGTTCAAAGGGTATTGTTAAAGTGTTGTTGTCAATTATCGGGTGCTCTGAAAAGTAGGAAGGATGCGAACTTGTGAGCATGTAAGGCGAATCAACGAAACATCATACTTTCATTAGTGCAACAAGTCGTTAAGAGGAGAGGAGAAACACTGCAGTTAATTATTAAGGCAAAACCATCCACTTTTGGCCGTTGAGCAGCGTGCCTTGAGACATCATCTACCTTTTCATGGTTCAAATTTCTAAATTAAAATCTTTGATGCTTTGAGAATTTTCAGACGGTTGGATAATAACTCAGACTATTCAATTACCCAATACGATATTTTCCTTGGAGGTGCGCGATAGGCTTACCTCCATGAGGTGCACCCTGGACAACGTATACTCATACGGTAAAATGTCTATAAATCAGCAGTTGACTTCTCACTTCAAACCGCCATTACCCGACTGTATGTCATATACTACCACTTCCGCAGTACTCACCTTACCTTTTTCCCTTCCTTTGTGTCAGTCTCTCTTACATCTAGGAATCAGTCTTCTGCTCCTCCTCTCGACATTTTATGACTTTAATATTCCTCCCCTCATGCTTATGATAACTATCATAAATCCCGCCATTTGATGTAAATATTTTCTTTGATCTATTGGGGTTAACTGGGCAATGATTTACACTCTTTTATTGTTTATTTAGAACCTAACAAAACTAATACTTCAATTACAGCGAGTGAAAAAAAGTTGGGCAAATTGTTTGGAATTATTTCATTGATCCATCAGTTGAAATAGGATGCGAATGTTAGAGCAAGTCTAACTAAAAGAATGAGAAGTCGAGTCTGTCACCAGGTAAGCATCACAATGCTCCCCATTTCCAGATGAGGGGGGTGGGGAATGGGAGTTGGGCAAGACAAATTTGACATTGTCCGGGGGGTAATTACTTCAGTTTTATTGTCACCTCTAGGTTGAGCTAGTCAGAAGAACTAGATAAGTTGCCCTTTAAGCAAGTCGAAACTCAACCTTTCCGACTTTAGGTAAATAAAG